TTTGTAGCCCAGGCTGGCCTCGAACTCTCAATGATCCTCCTGCTTCAGCCTCCTAAGTGCTAGGATTACAGGCATGCGCCACCACGGCCCAGCTCACAGACTCATTTAAAATGTGCCATTGTACCCTTTTGGTTTTGTTTTTTTTTTATCTTTTGGGGTGGGGTTTGCTGTCTTGCCCAGGCTAGTCTGGAACTCCTGGGCTCTAGGGATCCTACTGCCTCAGCCTCCAGAGTAGTGAGACTACAGGCATGTGCCACCACATCTGGCTTCTTTATGCCACTTTTAAATTGTGCGTTTCAGTGTCGTTCAGTACACTGGCATTGTTGTGCTGCATGACCACCACCCTTGGGTGCTTTTCCGTCTTTGCACCCCCTGGTAGCCACCGGTCTACCTTTTCTGTCAAAGAATTTGACTCTTCTAGGTTCACACGTTGTGTGTCCTTTTGTGTCTGGCTTATTTCACTTAGTATCATGTCCTCAGCGGTCATCCATGTTGTAGCGTGTGTCAGAATTTCCTTTCTTTTAAAGAGTGAGTAATATTTTATTGTATGTCTAGGCCACATTTCCCCTTGTGAGTAATGCTACTGTGTACATGGGTGTGTGAATACCTGAGTTCCTGCCCTCCTTCCTTTTGGAATACATCCGGAAAGGAAGGGCCAGTTTGTTTTAAGCACAACAAGTCAAAACTGTGCTCCAATTGAACATGATGGTGCATACCTATAATCCTAGCTCCTCAGGAGGCTGAGGCAGGAGAATGGCAAGTTGGGGGCCAGTCTGAGTAACTTGAAACCCTGTCTCAAAAATAAACAAATAAACAGGGCTGGGGAGGTAGCTCAGTGGTAGAGCACTTTTCTAGCATGCTAGCACTTTTCTAGCAACGTCCTAGATTCAATCCCCTTTATCGTAGAACAAGCACAAACTGTGGCCCAGTTCTGAGCTGCCTGTCCTACCCACCCAGTGCCTCTGGAGTGGTTCTGAGAACCTCTATTGCTAATTCTGGGGACAACTAGGAGAGAGTGTGATTGAGTGAGTGACACCTGTCCCCATCATGCCAAACTGCTCCGGGGGCTCCAGAGCTGTCCTGCCTCTTTGGGAAGGAATGAACTCTCTGTCACTGGCAGGTGCAAGCAGCCCAGGCTGGCCTTGAACTCGCAGTGACCTTTCCGCCTCAGCCTCCCAAGTGCTGGGATTGCAGGTGTGCACCACCACGCTTGGCAGGGTGATTTTTCTTTGGAAAGAGACTGGATTGGTTGAATGCCAGGACCCCAAGTCACTTTAAGGCTGTAAGGTCCAGGGCTTCTAAAATTCTGAGTCCTGCATTCTGGCCCAGGCCCTGGCGTGCTCAGGGCTTTTCCACCACTGCCTTTCTGGGTACGGGTGCAGGTGTGCGGTGTGGGTGCAGGTGCAGGTACAGGTGGGGAAGTGGGGATGGCCTTGATCTCAGGGCAGGACCAGTTCTGCGCTCTGCCTGGGCCTTTCCCACGGCCTCACGAGCCCTGGCCCACGTTGCCCTGCGGCCTGGTGACTCAGCTTTCCCCCTCCATAACTTTCTGAGGTGTGAGTGGGCCGCCGCTGTCCCCAGGTGCTGGACATGTGGGTTACTTTGGCAGCTTCTTGAGATTCTAATAAGCTCACAAAACCTAAGACTTGGTTCCTATTTTAGTTGTTTCTGCAAAATCTCAATCTTTTTACATTTGTAAACTCAGCTGAACTGTGATATAATTTGTACACTGTTAGATGTGCCTGTGTGGAATGTTCCCCAAACCCCTGTGGTATCTGCAGGCGTCTGGTCCCCTCAGTTCCTGCTGTGAGCACAGCCTGAGCACACTTCTGGGAGTCTGTGTGTGTGCGTGTGTGTGTGTATGCGCGTGTCTGGAGAAAGGGGTTCATGTAGGAGCTGAGGTGTGGAAGCAGCTGCGGCCATGCATTTTTCAGCTGCTGCCTGTCTCTGGCTGCTGATCAGCGCCGGAAGTCTGAAGTATCAGGTGCTAGGAACACCTGGATTTTGACCTTTATGAACCAGAGCGAATCGAAAGGCCAAGCTGGGGGAAGTAGGGCAGCTTTTCTTGTCTCAGATGTCTCAGACTGAAGTGGTAACAGGCCAGAGTCAGGGCTGGACTGGCACCAGGGTTGGAGTCGGAGCCTCTGGGCTGCTTGCTTTGCTCTGGGCAGGGTGGGGTTGTTTCCATCACTGGGCATTTCTAAGGGTGACTCCTTCATGGGGTGGTGGGCCGGGAAGCACTGTGGCTATGTGGGCAGAGCCTGACCCTTGCCACACAGACCTGAGTTCAAATCCCAGCCCCTCAGCTTCCTTTGTGATCGTAGTCATACAGCTTTTTTGAGTCTCGGCTTCCAAATTTGAAAATGGAAGGTTACAAAATACTTCATAATGTCAGTGAGGCATCACGTGGATAAATGCGTACCACTGTGTCCATGACCAGCCCTTAATATATGGTAGCCGTCACTTTGATTACTTGAATCTCAGCGCTGTTACTGACTTGCTGTGTGACTGCTGGTAAGCTTCTGAACATCTCTAGTCTAATATCCACATCTGTGAAATGGGGCTGGTAACCTGCTCTGTGATGCGGGCATAGTCCTTATGGTCAATAAAACATTTTTCTGCCTTGTTCTCTGCCAATCCCACGCCCACCCTGATGGCTGCGGGCTTCAGTTAGCAAGTGCAGGAAGTACCCAGAATAATTTCATTCCCCAAGTGTGTATTGCATTTAGAATCTACTTTGTACTTGGCTTTGTGTGTGAGAGAGATAGGTAAGAAAGAGCTTTTCCCCAGCTGGGCCTGGTGGCAGTGCCTGTAATCCCAGCACTCCAGGAGGCTGAAGCAGGAGGATCACAAGTCTGAGCCCAGCCTAGGCAACTTACTGACTTAGCAAGACCCTGCCTCAAAGTTAAATTAAAAAAAAAAAGATATATATGTGTATCAAGATTAAAAAATAAAAAGGGCCGTGGGTGTAGAGAATTGACAAGACCCTAGGTTCAATCCTCAGTACCGCCAAAACCAAAAACCAAAATGGGAAATAAAAACAAACAAGAACAAGGAAAAAAAGCAAGCAAGCTTTCCCCAGGCATTTTAGTCCAGGGAGAAGGCGCAGAGAGAGGGCAGCCGCACCTACACCCCATGGTGAGGGGCGTGTGGGGGAAGGTCTCCTCCAGGCTCCTTGGCAGAGCCCACGCTGCAGCGTGAGGGAAACCGCAGCGTGAGGGAAACCGCAGCGTGAGGGAAACGGTTCCCCCAGCCTGGTCACCGTCCCTGCCAAGGACGCTTGCCCGCTCCGCGTCCCTCCCCTGGCAGGCAGGGACTACGGCTTCGCCTTCATCACCAGGCCCTGCAAGTGTGTGTGTTCCACCCGCTGAAGCCCACTGAAGCCCCAGATGCAGGGCTTGTAGTTCTTGCTCTCCAGGCTCCGAGGTACCTGGGTGGGGACTTGGGACCGCAGTATTTGGGAGCATAGCATCTACCAAAGGGAGTCGGGTGCTGATCTGTTTCTGCAAAGGGTGGGCTGTGGACGGGGCTCCTGGAGGGGTGAGTCTTTGGCCACCAGCTGTGAATAGTGTGGCCTCACTCGCCCTGAGGAGCCAGGGCTGCCCACTGGGCCCGCGACCCACTCGGGAAGGGTTAGACCGCCACCTGCTGCCCAAACCTAGAACAGCCTGGAGGAAGTAACCATAGGCCATTTCAGTTCCATGCTTGCAAGATATTTACCATGGGCTTTATTCTCCTCCTCCTCTCTCTCCCCTTTCCCCTCCTTTTCCTCCTCTCCTCCCCCTCTTCCCGTTCTTCCTCCTCCTCCTCCTCCTCCTCCTCCTCCTCCTTTTCTTTTTCTTCCATCTTTCTTTTTCTTATAGCATTGGGCCTTAACCCAGGCCCTAGCACAGCTAGGCAAGCTCTCTAACACTGAGCTGTACCCTCAACATCTTAAAATTTTTTCATTTGGAAGCAAGGTTCTCCCTAAATTTCCTAACCTGGCTTGGAACTTGAGATTTTCTTGGCTCAGCCTCCTGAATACCTGAGATTATGGGTGTGCACCACCACTCCTGGCATGCTTGCTGTTTTCAATTTTTTTTCTTTTTTCTTTTTTGAGACGGTTTCACTGCAGTTCAGGCTGGCCTTGAACTCACTTTGTAGACCAAGCTGACCTTGAAGTTGCAGTGATCCTCTTGCCTCAGCCTCCCAAGTGCTGGGATTATAGGCCTATATTACAACACCCAGCTGTTTTAATTTTGGGGTTTTCTTTGTTTTTTTTTCCCGTACCAGGAATTGAACTCATGACCTTGCACTTGCCAGGCAGGCTCTGTGCCGCTGAGCTAAATCCCCAACCCCTCTGCTGTTTTAAATTTTGACATGTGTCAGGTGCTACACTAAGCACTTTATATTCCTTCAACAGATAGTACACAAACTCCTACTAAGTGCCAGACACTATTTCTGCTTCTAAGAATTGCACAGTGAACAAAACAGACAGAATCCCAGGTCCTACTGGAAAGGGGAGGCAGAGAAGCAAGTAAAATACAAGGCACATCAGACAATAGAGAAGTCAGTGGAGGAGAAGTAGTCTGAGGGGTTACGGTGTGGAGTCCCTGTTTGATCCTTACAGCTGCCTTGTGAGGGGTAGGTTCAGTTAGGATTCCTGTTTTATAGATGAGAAAACAGGTTCAGAGAGGTCGAGCGCGTTGTGTAAGGTCACACAGGCACTCTGGGCTGAGCTGGCCTTTGGGAGTTTTTTGTTGATTGTAAACTGCTCTAAGTGGGAAACAGTGACCCCCAGCTCTGTGTTTCCGAAGATGCAGCAGCATTTGAGGTAGGTCCAGCTGTTGCTTAGTGGCTTTGTAAGTCAGCAGGTCCTGTGTGACCCAGCTTCCTGTCCATCTTGGGCGTTCAGGGGTGACATCTGGGGAGACTCGGTGGGACGTGGAGACACCGAGAGGGCGGGTGGTGGGCGGGTGCTGTGTGGGGAGTGGCAGTGCCTGACGTCCCGTCCCCTGCAGGCCTCCTGCCTCTGCGGCTCCGCGCCCTGCATCCTGTGCTCCTGCTGCCCCTCCAGCCGCAACTCCACCGTGAGCCGCCTGCTCTTCACCGGCTTCCTCCTCCTGGGGGTGCTGGTGTCCATCATCATGCTGAGCCCGGGCGTGGAGAGTCAGCTCCACAAGGTGAGTGGCCGGGGCAGCGGGCCCAGCGGTCAGCGGGGTGGGAGGGGCTGGGTTTGCTGATGATCTGTGGGTAGCAGCGGTGGGGAGGAGGGCTTGAACCTCGTACTGGATTCTTCTCGTAAACCCTTGGAAAATCCTATAATCGTCGCTGGGGATCCTGTCTCCCCCTTCAGCCGGGCACAGGGCCGTCCCAGCGTGGTGTGCGCAGGTGTGGACCCGCCGGAGTGTGTGCACACGCGGGCTCTCAGACGCACCCTGGAGGCCCGACTGTAGCAGAGGGGCCTTGGACCCTGTTCCCCCAAGCCTCCGGCAGTGGCTCTGACTCAGTAGGGGGTGAAGGCCACACAGGGAAGCCCTGCTTTGACTGCAGCACGGCCCCGAGGCCTTGGGGTGATCCCCAGGTGGACTGTGATTGATCGTGGTCTCCAGGGAGCCACCCAAGGGCTTGGGCATCACACCGCTTTCTGTCTGTTTCCACAGCTGCCCTGGGTGTGCGAGGGTGCCGAGACGCCCGGCGTCCTGCAGGGCCACATCGACTGCGGCTCCCTGCTGGGCTTCCGCGCCGTCTACCGCATGTGCTTCGCCACGGCCGCCTTCTTCTTCCTGTTTACCCTGCTCATGATCTGCGTGCGCAGCAGCCGGGACCCCCGGGCTGCGGTCCAGAACGGGTGAGGGGCCGGCCCCGCCTGTGCCTTCCGGTAGCTTTTCTCCGCGGGGTCTCTCCAGGGATCACAGGTGCTGCCCTCAGACGCAGGAGCCACCGAGCCCAGGTGGACACGGCACAGGGAACAGTGCATGTGTTCTGCCCGTGTCTTAGATGTGGAGTGACAGTACGCCCAAGGTCCCGTGGTGCCGTCGTGACCCAGGCGGGCTCGAAACCAGCATCCCTGCTCTCTGGTTGCGTCTTTCCTCTTTGCCCCACTGGGCTTTTTCTCGGGGCAGAACAGACTTTCTGAGAGCCCGTCAGCAAATCTGTCCTCTGCTCTCCATCCGTCTGTCCCTTGGCGGGCGGCTCCGGGCCCTGGCCTGGCATCTGGCGGGCCGGCCTCTGCTCAGTGTTCTTGTCCCCCCACCGTAGGTTTTGGTTCTTTAAGTTCCTGATCCTTGTGGGCATCACCGTGGGTGCCTTCTACATCCCTGATGGCTCCTTCTCCAATAGTAGGTGGCTTGGGGGGCGGTGTGGGCCTTGGTGGGAGGAGTGTGGGGCTCTGGTTTGGTCCCTGGCCTGCTGTGCCCTGCCAGGAGGCAGCCGCTGGGGCTGGGACTCACGGCTTTGGGCCCTCAGGGAGAGGGGCCCACCAGGACCCATCCGTCCAGTGCCACCCTGTGTGCGTCTGCGGGGCTGACTCTCCCAGAGGCAGCCTCAGCGGCTTCTCAGTGTCCCCGGGAGGGCGCAGGTGGCTGGTAGACGGATGTGTGGGAGGGGCGCGCCCTGTCTCGGGCCCCAGCATCTCCTGGCCTCCCCGCACAGTCTGGTTCTACTTCGGCGTCGTGGGCTCCTTCCTCTTCATCCTCATCCAGCTGCTGCTGCTCATCGACTTCGCCCACTCCTGGAACCAGCGGTGGCTGGGCAAGGCCGAGGAGTGCGGCTCCCGCTCCTGGTACGCAGGTCAGTGCCGCCAGCCTGCCCTCTGTGGCCCGGGGCTGGTGAGAGCCTGGGGCAGCCAAGCCATCCGCAGCCCCGGGCCGGAGCTGAACCTGCCCAGGGGGGCTGGCAGGGAAGGAGGGGAGGCCAAGCGCAGAGCGTGTGGGGACAGAGGAGAGCAGACCGGAGTCCAGGTCCCTGAGGCAGTAGCTCTCATGGCCCTAGACATGCGGAGCCAGCGATGCGTGAGGTCCTTCCGGGTGCCCAGGCCGAGTTCCAGGGACACCTGGTGGTGCCGCCGACCCCAGCAGGATGGGTTCCGTGGAGCCCCTTGGGTCCTTGTGAGGGCGTGAAGGCGAAGGGCGCCCCTGGGTGCTGGTGTGGCTCCCAGATGGCCGGGCACCTGCTTCTCTTTCACACGTCTGTTTTGAGTTCATCGCTTTGGTGCTGGGTCCCCTTCGCACAGTGAGTGAGTGATCTGAGCTCGCAAGGTCCTGGGGGAAGACAGTGACGCCACTCGGGAGCGAGGACACTGAGGATTGTGAGGGAGCAGGGCCCCGGTGCCCGCTGCCCCATGAGCCGGTGTCCCCGCCCCTCCACCCAGGCCTCTTCTTCTTCACCCTGCTCTTCTACGCGCTGTCTATCGCGGCCGTGGCGCTGCTCTTCGTCTACTACACCCATCCCGGCACCTGCCACGAGGGCAAGATCTTCATCAGCCTCAACCTTGTCTTCTGCTTGTGCGTCTCCATCGTCGCCGTGTTGCCCAAGGTCCAGGTGAGCTGCCCATCAGCATGGTGCCTTGCGTGGGGCATTCCTTGTAGGAACCATAGAGTCCGGCATGGTGGCGCAAGCCTGTAATCCCAGCACTCAGGAGGCTGAGGCAGGAGGATTGCCGTGAGTTTTGAGGACAGCCTAGGCTACATAGTGAGTTAAAGTCCAGCCTGAATTACAGATTGATACCCTGTCTCAAAAAAAAAAGGAAGGAAGGAAGGAAGGAAGGAAAGGAAGAAAGAACGAAAGGAGAGAAGCGAAGAGAAGAGAAGAGAAGAGAAGCCAGGACAGACTGTCCCAGGCATGGGCTGTGTTGTGGTTTCCCAGACGGCCTAACCTCAGCATCTTGGTTCTCACATCTGCATGCTCGGTGTATTTGTCGAGCGAGCCCCTGACTCACACACGTGTTAGACTCCTTGGTCCGTGTTTCAAGATGGGTCGGGTGGGGCGGCTTTCGTATTTGTCAAGGTGTCTTAACCTCTCTGTGCCTCCTCCACGAATATAAAGCAGGGATAAGGATACTAATACCTGCCATTTGGAATTGCACTCATGATTAACACTTGGAGCAGTGTCTGGCAGACAGGTGCCAGTCAGACAGAAGGTGCTCAGTTTACTGATGTCATTTGTGCTTTCATGCAAATGAGGAGAGTATTAGGAAGCCAATAGGAGTATTAGGAGCGATGCTAGGAAGGGTGCAGCCACGGTGTCCCAGAGGGACCAGTTGTCCTTCGGAAGCACCTCTGGTCCCCCTCTCCATCCAGGGGTACTTCCCAGTTCCACATACTGGGTCTCTAGGAAGCTTAGGGGGTCATTGGAGTCCAGCGGGAAAGTCCAGAACCTCTTCCGCTGGGAGCATCCACTTCTGGATGAGAACGTCGAAGACCAGAGTGGTTGGGTCATCCCGGCACACAACATCCGGGTTCATTCAGCGAGGGCCTCTCGAGGGCTCTGTGTACCAGGCCCTGGGCTGGTGCAGGGCACAGACTGTGAGGAGGAAGAGGAAGAGTGACAGTGACAGCTAACAGCTCTCAGCCTCTGTGCTGTTTGTCACTGGGCCCGCACACCATCATCCTCCCCACATGCCAGACGCAGAAATGGAGGCCCAAGGAGTAGAGACTCAGCCAAGACGCGTGGCTGTAAGTGGGCGAGCTGGGACCGAGCCCAGGCGGGCTGCTCTGGAGCCCGTGCCTGTCATCCTAGTTTCACCTCCTGTCTTCGCGCGTGTGGGGGGGAGGGTAAGGAAGGACAAGCACCAGGATGAGGCCACGCAAGGTGCCTTTGGGTGGTAAGGGTCATACGGAAAATAGAAGCAGGTGTGGGCTAAAAGGTCCTGGAGTGGTAGAACTGGGCTTCTCATGGCCTCACTGGGGGTGCTGTTTGAGGACTAAAGAGGGGTTGCCTGCTGGGAGATAGTGGCAAGGAACATGTCAAAGACAGTCACAAGCAGGCATGGTGCCACACGACTATAATCTCAGTGGGAGGCTGAGGCAGGAGGATTGCAAGTTCAAGTCCTGTCTGGGCAGTTTCAAGAACGGCTGGGGCTGTAGCTCAGGGCAGAGGCCCTGAGCTCAATCCCAGTGCCGCAAATGGGGCGGGGGCTGAGGTGGGAAAGGCAGAGTGGAGGAGAGACTGGAGACAGGGCGGCCTTGACTCTTGGGTGCCGCCCCTGGGGATTTTCAGAAGGCAGGAAGTGGGATAATCCAAGGGGTGTAAAGATGAAGAATGACAGCCCTACTTCTGGGTGCGAAAGAAGGTGGTGAGCCAGGTGTGGTACACACCTGTAATCCCAGCACTTAGGAGGCAGAGGCAGGAGGGTTGCTAGGAGTTCGAGGCCAGCCTGGGCTACAAAGTGAGCTCAAGGCCAGCCTGCACTGCATAGTGAGACCCTGCCCCAAAAAGAAAAAAAAAAGAGGGTGGTGAGTGACCTGGTTGGGTGGGTGGGACAGTCCTGGGGATGGGTGGGGTTTGGAGGAGTTACTGAGGGTTGGTGGGCCTGGGCTGGATGGGAGTGGGCTGTCCCCATCTGGCAAGGGTCTTAGCAGCGAATGGCTCTTGCCAGGAAGCCCAGCCCAACTCGGGTCTGCTGCAGGCCTCGGTCGTCACACTGTACACCATGTTTGTCACCTGGTTGGCCCTGTCCAATGTCCCTGGTGAGTATGGGCCCAGGCCCGGCCTCCAGGCAGCCTGCCGAGGGCTGGGGACCCTCACAGCTGACAGGGATCTCCCAGCTCTCTTGGGTCCCGAGTCTCAGTCCTTCAGGGAGGTGGGGGAGTTGTCTGGGCTGGAGTTGTCTGACTGTCATTTTGTCTGCCAAGTGCTGCCTGCTGCTGGGCCTGGTTGGCCATGTCTGTCTGTCTGTCTGTCTGTCTGTCCGTCCTCTGGACTGTTTCCAGTCCAGGGTAATGGTGTTCCTGTCCCCAGACCAGAAATGTAACCCGCACCTGCTGACCCAGCTCAGCAATGAGACGGTGCTGGCCGGCCCCGAGGGCTATGAGACCCAGTGGTGGGATGCACCCAGCATTGTGGGGCTCGTCATCTTTATCCTGTGCACCCTCTTCATCAGGTACTCGGGCTCTGGTCCCTGGGGAGGGTCCCAGTGGCGGGGGGCAGAGCCCTGGGAGCCGGGGCAGCACACTCATGGGTGCCTCAGCAGGCAGTGTCCAGCCCCGGCCTGTGCTGGTGAGGAAACCAAGTCCCTCCGAGGACACAGGTTTGGTGGGCAGCAGAGCGGGCTGCATCCAAGCCACCTCGACCCCAGCTCAGTGGGGTACAGACATCTGCGAGGTCAGGGAGGTCCTTGGACTGGAAACAGCAGGTCTAGGCTTTGTTTCTCACCTGTGGTGTGGCCTTGGGTAAGTGGCTTAACCTTTCTGAGCCTCAGTTTCCCCTTCAATAAGAGGAGGAGGGTGAGCTCCATGGTAGTGGAGCTGGCTATGATTCCATAATCTCCCCTGAGAGAAGGCAGCTTGTGCTGCTGAAGATCACATAGTGACATAACGACTTTTTTTTGTGGTACTGAATACTGAATCCAAGTAAAAAAGCAGAAAGCTACCTTTAGTTTTTTTCCCCCAAAATTTTATTTAATATTTACTTATTTATTGGGAGGCCGAGGCAGGAGGATCTCTGTGAATTTGAGGCCAGCCTGGGCTATATAGTGAGTTCAAGGCCAACCTGAGCTACACAGTGAGACTGTCTCAAAAAACCAAAAAAGGCCAGGCTTACCAGTGTACCCCTAGAATTCCAACACTCGGGAGAGTGAAGCAGGAGGATCACTAAGAGTTCCAGGCCAAGAAGGGCTACAAAGTGAGTTTAAGGCCAGCCTGAACTGCATAATAAAACCCTGGCTCAAAACACAAAACAAAACAAAACCCCCAAATTACTTATTTATTTGAGGTAAGGTCCCACTGTATACCCATGGACTTGCAATTCTCCTATCTCCTCAACCCCCACAAGTATTAGAATTACAGGTATGTTTTATGGAGACAGGGTCTCAGGAAGTTGCCCAGGCTGGCCTCAGACTTGTGAGCCTCCTGCCTCAGCCTTCTGAGGAGCTGAGATCACAGTTGTGAGACACTACACCCAGCTGCACTGTGACTTTTTCAAAGGGACATTTTAGCGGTGCTTAAGTGCTTATCAGTGTGGACTCTGGAGCCAAACTGCCCGCCGTTGACCCTGGCACCACCACCTTGCTAACAGGGTGATTGTGGGGAAGTCACTTAACCTCTCTTTGTCTTGCTTTCCTCACCAGGAAAGTAGGGATAAAAATAGTGCCTGCCTCACTGGATTGCCGGAAGAGTCACTGTGTACAAGACCCAGCATTGAGCTTGCCTAGGAGTAGGTGCCACATAGGTGCTGAGTACTGCTGCAGTAGTCTGATGGTTTGCACTGCCGGGGTGTGAGTGGCTGGCGTGTTGGTCTGGGATCCTGACTTGGTCTGATTGTTTACACTGACTCTGGCTGCAGTTTGCCTCCTGGGGCCCAGCATTTCCCTGGGCGATGGAGGCCTCTCTGGAGGGTGACTGCCCTGCCTTCCTCCTGCCCCTGGCTCTCTGTCCCTCCCCTCCCTGACAGATGGCTCACAAAGCTAGCACCTCCCTGGCTGCAGCCACCCTAGGGCCCTTCTGGTGCCCCAAGGTGCTGTTTGCTTTTAGTGTAGCTTTTTTGTTTATTTTCAGTACTGGTGATTGAACCCAGGCTTTTTATACTGAGTTACATCCCCAGCTCTTTTTATCATTCTTTATTTTGAGACAGATTCTCACCACACTGCCCAAGCTCAGATTTGAGATACTCCTGCCTCAGTCTCCCAGAGTCCTGGAATTATAGGCGGGCGCTACCGCACCTGGCTTAGCATAGCTCTGAAAGCTCAGCTCAAGCTGCCCTGTGCACCTGCTTCCTGTGGTAGTTGGAAGTCAGAGTTCCCTGAAGCTCAGCCAGTTTTGTGGGGTAGGGCTGTGATCCAGTGCTACTTTTTAATTTTATTTTTCTGAAATACAAGTTGGTTTCTCAAAACTGCATATCTCAAACTGTTAAATTCTGTTGAAGACATCAGAATGTCATCATAGAAAACCAATGACATACATCATAATTGTGACCGTTTTTTTAGTGTAAACAGGAAAGGAGGCAATTGATAAGTTACCTAAGACTAATAAAGTTAATGGTAAATGAGCACTATCAATTATCAACCTTATTAATTATTGTAGTAGCGCCCAGTCTGGTGCTTTATAGTACTAGAGACCCAGTATGTGTTTGTGGAAGTGATAAATGGACAATCATAACAACAGTGATTTGTGGGACTGGAGATTGAACCCAAGGGTGCTCCCAATCCTTTTTATTTTGAAATAGAGTCCTGCTAAGTTGCCCAGACTGACCTTAAATGTTGTCCTCCTGCTTCAGCCTCCCGAGTAGCTGTGATTATAGGTGTGCTGCACCGTCCCCAGCCGCCGTGACTGTTTAGTTTCTGCTCTGTGCCTGGCACAGCACTTGGATCTTCACATCATCATTCCATTTGGTTTTCCCAGCATCCCACGAGCGATGCCAGTATTCCCAGCTTTACAGATGACGGATTAGAGGCTCAGACAGGCTGAGTGTCTTATTCATGGTCACACAGGGAGTTAGGGTAGTGTTGGGTCAAAATGGTTTGTTAACTCCTGGGCCCAGTACCAATCCACCAGGTCCCCGGCCTTTGAGGTTCGGAGCCCATCAATGTGTAGCTCTGTGGCCAGTGCCATGGCGCAGTGGGCCACCACTACTCTCGACCCGCCTACCTCCGCGGCAGTGGCCCTGACCGCCTCCTCTCTCCACAGTGTGCGCTCCTCCGACCACCGGCAGGTGAACAGCCTGATGCAGACCGAGGACTGCTCCATCGCGCTGGAGGCCACGCAGCAGCAGCAGCAGCAGCAGGTGGCCACCTCTGAGAACCGAGTTTTTGACAACGAGCAGGATGGCGTCACCTATAGCTACTCCTTCTTCCACTTCTGCCTGGTGCTGGCCTCCCTGCACATCATGATGACCCTCACCAACTGGTACAGGTGTGTGCAGCCTGGCGGGCAGGGATGGCCTGGGGAGGCAGGCATCCCGCCCTGGCGGCCTGGTCCTGCTCAAGGATGGGGCCCTGGGGGACCGGGGTCTGTCTTACACCCTCCGCAGAGTCTGCCCCCAGCCTGCCGTGGTTTCCCTGCACATGCCTCAGCATCTGCTCACCGCCTTGCACCCTCAAAGTGACGAGGGGGCTGTCCCAGGAGGGGCCGGGCCTGTGCAGGGCCACTGGGCTGCAAATTGGGGGTGGGCCGTGGGGTCACATTTGGGATTCATGGTTTGGATTATAGTATGGAGCTCAGAATCAAAAGCACAAGGTCAAGAATAGGAGCCGTGAGGTCCAGCGCTGGGGTTGGGTCTGTATAGTGTCATAGTCTGACTGTTATTCAGGGCTATTTTTTTTTTTTTTTTTTTTTCTTTTTGAGACAGGGTCTCAATGTGCAGTTCAGGCTGGCCTTGAGCTCACTTTGTAGCCTTGTATTCAGGGCTATTGGGTAGCAGTCATTTAGTGAACACACACACACACACACACACACACCAGCAGTCATTTAGTGAACATACACACACATGCACACATACCCCGGGCTGGGTCATTTGGTTAAAATTGGTCTTGGGTGGCCATAAACCAGTATTGAAGTGGCAGGGTCAGGGAGTTAGGATTAGGGTAATTAAGTTCGGGAGTCCAGGCTAGGGTGTAGGATCAAGGATCAAAGTCAAGGTTAGAGAGATCAGGACTAAAGTCAAGAGTTGCAGGGTTGCAAAGTCAGGGACAAAAGGTAAGGTCCAAGAATTAGGATCACAGAATTAGCAGGAGTCTGGTCACAATTTCAAGGTCTAGGACTGGGACCAGGATCAGAATTGAGAGCTGGGTGTGGTGGTGCACACCTGTAATCCCAGCACTTGGGAGGCTGAGGCAGGAGGATTACTGTGAGTTTGAGGCCAGCCTGAACTACATAGCAAGACCCTACTTCAAAAAAAAAAAGAAAAAAAAGATCAGCGTTACGGTCAGAGTCAGATTTGTGGTACAAGACCAAGAGTTTTGTCCAGGGTCACAAAGCCAAGAGGCTAAAGCATCAGAGATAGGGACTAGAGTTCCAGGATAAGAGCCAGTGTGGAAGTCAGGGATCACAAGAAGGTCAGGGGCTGGGACCGAGGTCACAAGGAAGATGTGTGTTCCAGACCCGGCGAGACGCACAAGATGATCAGCACATGGACCGCTGTGTGGGTCAAGATCTGCGCCAGCTGGGCAGGACTGTTCCTCTACCTGTGGACCCTGGTGGCGCCCCTGCTCCTGCCCAACCGCGACTTCAGCTGAGGCAGCCCCTGCAGCCTGCCCACCCGGTGGTACCTTGGGTTCAGTGACAGCCCCTGCCTGCTCCCCACACCCCGTCAGCCCGGCTGAACTGCTCCCTGCAAGACTGGCCCCGAGCTGGGCCCCATCTCCGTGCCTTTGGGTCTGAGAGGCAGTGGGCTCACCTGAACTCCACTCTCCCGCCGCCCCAGACCACAGAGCTGCCTCTTCCTTCCCTGCCCGGTCACCCCCATGCCCCGTTTTAGGACAGAAGCCCCAACCCCACCCCAGGGGCTGGAGGAGAGGGGCCAGAGCCACACAGAGGGCAGCGAGCACGCCGGTGCCCAGCCCTGAGCCTGCTGTTCCCCACCCAGCCCCTTCCTGGACCACGTGCCTTAGCAAGTCTCTGAGACTTCGCCCAATAAACACGACTACGTGTGCCTGCCCACTTGCTGTGTCCCTCGCCCTCAGTGCAGGGCTGGAGGGGCGGGTCAGGCTGAGGGACAGGGGCCGGGGCTCTGCCTCCGGATTGTGGAGGGGCTGGGGGTTGAGGGCCAGGAGGAGGAGGGGCCGACCAGGGAGTGGGGAGTTGGGAGGAG